CAAACAAACAAACAAACAAACAAACAAACAAACAAACAAACAAACAACAACAAACAACCAACCAACCAAACAAACAAACAAACACAACCACAACCACAACCACAACAACAACCACAACCACAACCACAACAACAACAACAACCACAACCACAACCACCACAACCACAACCACAACCACAACCACAACCATACTATTGTACAAACCCGGAAAGGGTGAGTCAATCTTGCTTCAGTTGGGTGTGGGACAAGCTTCGCATATTCAAGACTATTCAAGCAACATCAAGCAACCTTGTCGAGCATAGTCCAACCCTCTCGCTGATTATCAATGTTGGACTCCTAGCTTTGACCCAAGCTAGTTAACAGGACTGCCGCCTGCCCAGTGGGCAGTCATCACAAATTCCTGCACAAACCCAGCCGTGAAAATTCCCAGATTTACATGTCAGGGACCCTCAAGCTAGAGCCGCAAGAGCCATCCTGCAGCCCTCTGAGCACCCACACCCCAAGTGTCTCAAGCACCGCTTCCTGCTGGTCCTCTTTAGAGGCCTGACAGCTCTCTATGCGGGTCATGTGTCCTAAGCTTAGACGCTATTGAAACAGGCATCCAGGTTTTCCAGGTGGCGATTACAGCCTGGTTGCAGTGAGTGGGCGCTGTTTCAACATAATGTCTAGTCTAGTCAGTGTTGCAGTGTAGTCACTGGGATTCAGGGCCCGCAGCTGAAGGTTGCACATAAAGCAAATACATAATGAACCCAGCAACCATACGACGGTCTGGGGGATTGTTCCAAGACTAAAAGCTGACCCACAGCACCATTCACTGACCAGCCCACCTTGAGCAATGTAGCACCCAAGGTGCACAAATCGGGAGCGTCACCATTCGAGGACGACATCGGCCATACCACGCAAAGAAAAAACAACAGCAAGAAAGCTTCGGCCTTTAACTCTAGCTTTCAGGTACTAGTGCTAGGGCTATCTGGGGCGACACTTCATTTCAAGAGAACGTGTGAAAAGCCCCTCAATCGACACCGATTTTCTCGTTATCATTGGTGCATTCCCATCTTGCTTGTCCTCCAGCTAGCTAAAGCCGAGATAATTTTGAGCAGGGTTTGCCTGCCATGGTCTGCACAATGCTAAATATCCGGAAACATCTGCATGCCTTCCACGTTTGATCTGGCAGAATCTAGCATTTCCAAAACCACCTTCATGCGTTCCCATTGGATGCTTGAGCCGACAACGCCGTTTAGGACCATGCAGAACCTTGCTTTTGCGACTTGCAAAGGTAAAGAGAGGGTACGTTACATGACGGTTCAAGTCCTTCATTTCAGTACCCATGGCAGAATACCAATGACTTTCCATGAGGTTTGGAGGGCGACCCTTAGCAAGGCCCCTTGGCAGTGCATTCAGCGCGGATGTGGCAGCTGACCCTGATGATCTTTGCAGCTCAAGCCGCAGCAGCCCATGAAATAGGGACCGTGGCCCGTGGCCTCTCTAAAAATGTGAGAAGCGCCAACGATTCAGATTGGACGAAGGATGCTGCTGTGGAAGCTCATCACGGCGGAAAGCATATTTCGCTGACGTTCTGATCACCCAGTGGCTGCTACACGAGGCTGAGGAAAGGGCAAGGACTGTCACTTCGAGTGGCCATCTCAAAATTCCTGGCTGCATGAACACACTAGCACACGCAAACTTACGCACCAAGCCAAGTTGTAGACAACACCATGTCCAGCAAACTGCACCATCCTGCCCCCACTTGGCATCCGGCATCGTTCGGGAAGACACATGCCAACGATCCCCCCCGTGCCCTTCACTTGGCAAGAACATGCCGGGTCTTGCTGGTCATGTCATATAAATGAAATCACCTCCATCCAGGGGGATCGCTGCAGGAAAACAAAAGTTCACGCGTTGTGCGCCATCCCCCAGACCCCGTCAGGACACACACTGAATGCGCTGAAGAGATGTCTTGGGAAGGGACCGAACCACAGCATCTGTTTGTAGATCGAGTGGCCACGTGAGTTTCGGGATGAGTTTTTGCTTCACACGTTTGTTTTCGGGCCTTCACATGTGGGGCCGTATCTTTCCACTTCTTCATACGGTAGAGAAGGACTGACTGACCTTCTTCAGTGAGGACGATCATCTGCAGCCCCAATGATTGCATAATTTTGTGCATTAACTTCTGACATTGATATCCGTGGCCTCTTTGAACGATGTTTTCAGTCCACAGAATCTCTTTCTCATCCGTAGCAACATACAGTAAACAGTCAGTGTAAACACAATGTTACAATGTTACATAGGTGCGCAAATACGGTACAATACAGGGTTGGCAGCATCAAAATCAAACCTGGCATTCCGATCGCTCTGCCTAACCCAGTTCAACCACCCTGAACACATTCGGTTTCGGATGCATATCGCTTCGTGCCACTTCACGCCGGGGAACGGCCACGACTTCCGGAAAACATAGGTCGTCAGGCAGAAAGCAGGGCCCCTCTGACCATGCAGTAAATTCATGCCGTGGGCAATCCAATCCCACCAATGGCCTCGTTTCAAGGCTCAAACATCGACCGCATTCACTGCATCTGCCGACAACGGGCACGGCCTCAGGCGAAAGAGGCAGGAGCTCCTCTTGCATCCAGCAGTGTGGGGGCTTGGTCTATGAGTCTATGGGCTGCAGATCTGCTTGGTAGGAGCTTGGTAAAGAGATGTCAAGAGCATAGAGTAACAGCCGAGTAACACATCGGAGCCCAAGAAAGCGCTGAGCTCGGTGTCAAGTACTTGGGGTGTGGCGCTCACCGTTGTTCATTGATGTTCTTGGTTTGGAATGTTGGACGCTGCTTGGACTCTTGCACAGACAAGGCACATGCAGTTCTGCTTCCCGAGGGCCCAGGCCTGATGGGCTTCCAGGAGGGCTGTGAACCAACAGCAGCCGGGGAAAAAGCATGACAAGAGTGACAAACCTATTCATAAGCAAAGTACCCCGAAGTGGGGACGCCAGGGGAAGATGAAGAGATTCTGCCCAAGTTAGAGTTGTAGCATACGACGACTCACTGAGAAGGACACAAGGGAAAGAGTTGCTTGGAATCTCCCAGGTATCGGCCTTCAACCGCAAGTACGGAAGTGGGCAACCAAACTACACACAGCCACACAGCTTCTACCCACCCTCCCCCACCAGCAGAAGAAAAAATAATCATCTGGTCATTGGACATGTCAGAATACGCTCATTCGATGTCGGCGGAACTCGCACCGCGGCACCGAACCGACGTCCGACTCGACATCGCGAACACGCGAAGCGTCCCTTCCGCACCTCATGCTCGAGGAAGAGCGGATGAGAGCGATTGACCCCAGTCAAGAGAAGTTCAACGCAGGTACGCGTGTTCGGGCCTTAGAGCATCCCAAAAACCGCTGGCCCACTGTAGATTCACCAGGCCACGGCCCAGAAAAAGGTGCGCGAAGCAACTATTGGGGTGTGGCGGCCTCACCTGCGATGCACCTGCAGGAGATTCATGGACCCCATGCGTCACCACCTCTGGATTTCATTGACCCCTGATGACCCCTGGGCCATTCCGGCTCTCCACCACCCGCCGAACGCCGCCACGTCGCTGTGGTGGATCCGCTTGTGCCAGCGTTGCTTGGTGACCTCCGTTGGCAACGCTTGAGCCGGAGGTTCCATGAGGGACCCACTTCTTAGTGTTGGTCCTCGAATTCCTGGTGGTGCCAGGTTACCACCATGACTTGGTGCTTGGCTGCCCTGAATGTTAGCATCGAATCTGAACACAAACTTCGAGAAAGCGGGATGAACGCGGGATGAACCTCTACTGCCAGCGGCATGCAGCGGCGTCAATCCACATCACAAGATTTCTTCTCAACAATCCCCCTACTGATCTACTTTGTAGGACACCCAGCACCCCGATTCACACTCAAGAAATCGCAATGAGATTGTATCATGGTAGTATTATGCGATATTGGTGCCAAAAGGAGAGGAACATGGAACCCCAGGTGCACCACACTCAACCCCTGCGTCGGCGTCGTTCGCGAAGCCGCAGGACATGTACATCGTCGTACATAGTGAGGAGTGGTGACATGGCCCTCCCAGCATTTCACTCGGCCGGCACCTCAACCAAAGTGAGGTTGTGGAAGTGCCGAGCCATCCGTTCCAAACTCCGATGGCCCGAGGTCTTGACATCCTCGGAGGAAGCGACCACGACCGGGTGAGACCACCGGTGCTTTTCGTTTGGCGACCACCGTTTATTGGCCGTTTCGGAGTCTCTTAGAGGTCAGCTGAAGTACAGGTGCCAATTGCACCCATGGGCCCAGGTTTGTCTGGAAGTTCCGACCACCTGAGGTTGCTTCACCTATCCTGTCTGGACTTACTCTCTACAAAGCACTGTCGGGCATGGCCTCTGTGTATCACGACATCCGAGCATCATCCGAGCGTGCGGGTTGGAGGTTTTGCCTGACTTTCATAGATCCCTTCAGCTTCTGGCTTACAAGCTCTCACCCCCCTACAGGCCCTACAGGAGGTCTTCGGTCAACGAGTTGGCCACAAAGAGGCCACAGAGGCCGAGCAGGCATAAGATGGCATGAGTAACTTTGAAAGCCCCAGAAGTGCTTTGACCCTCTGCCAGGCCCTTCTGCGCGTCCCTCCAAAATCACAGCGGCAAGGCACTGGCATCCAGGAAATGTGGTGACGGTGGTTCCGGCCTGCGGTTCACTGAATCAAATTAACAGGTTGCCTTAGCACACTCACTGCCTTGCCACGCCCTCTCTGCGGTCCTTCAGCCAAGCCGGCCAGCAGCTCCTGCTGTGCAGACCATGAGCTCCGTCCTCGGCAGCCCGGAGGTCATAGGGGGCTCCATGGGGCCCCTGCTCCTCCCTCTCACTGGAGTCATCTGAGTCTGAGTCGAATCGTTTTTGCCAGGTGGCTTTTAGATGTTTTTGGGGCATAGCAGTGAGACCATTGTCAGCCACCCAAGAAACCATCCGCTATATATTATATATATATATAGCATCCTGGACTTCGTGTACCTTCCGCGCGCTGATTCTGCCTAGAGCACCTGACTCTCGGATTACCACTCCTGCCAGCCTAGCATCCCACCGCCTGCAGCACCGTTGACTCCATCCGAGCCGTCGCCCAGGCACTGGACTCGGAGGGCTTGGAGCCGTTCGTTGTGACAGAACTGGACGTCCCTCTTCGCCAGATGGAACGAAAGACACCCGACATGTTGGTCGCTGCGACACCTCTTTCGATGTGTTTCAAGTGACCCACCGTGTTCTGTCAAACACTGCACTTGGCTCAGCCCCGCACCAAGGCCTTTCGTCCTGCCGCGCGCATCTCGGCGTACACAGCGGTCATGGGAAGTGGCAAGCGGGTCTCATCAAAAGCCTCGAGGCAACGCGCGACAAGTGGCAGGTGGGCCAATGCCAGTACAGCATAGTACAGCCAGTCCTTACCTCACCCCCAATCCGATTTCTTTAGCAAGGGGTGGAGGAATGAGAAGACTTTCCACTTTCACGGCCAACATGTGCATGGCCCTGTCTCAGAACCCCCAACTGATGGACTCAGTTCAATCGTCGGCTCCAAGAGTTGATTGGCGGCGGGTGTTCTCCATCAAGTTCTCCAAACTCAATGACGAATCCCCGAAGCTCATCAAAGCTCCAAGGTGGTGCCGTGCGTTTCACGTTCTTCGGCGGTGCGCGTTTCTCAAGTCTAAAAGTCCCCAAAGTGAGATGGATGTGGATGTGCAGTCCCATGCACTGCGGGGCCTGTACTTCAGAGAGAGTGGACCTCGGAACAAAGTCGGGAGACGTGGTGTCACATTTCGCAGTCCAAAAGGCTTGCAAGACCTGAAGCAGACAGAACTCCAGCAAAGCATCCACCTGGCCAAGACTGGCTTTGAGGTGCTGCTGTGGACTGTGAGATTGCCCCAAGAGTTCTTTGCTTCCCAAATCGATGACAACTCGAAACTTCTTAGATTGCTGAGAGAAAATCTGTCGACCATTCTGACATGTTCTGAGCCATATGGTGAGCCATATGGTGGCACTTCAGACAAGCCAAGCGTGTGACTCGCCTGCGGTGGGGGCAGTTCCACCGGCAGGGCAGCTTTGGCACCTGCGGCCCAGCGGCGGGTGCCAGCAGAGGCCCTCAGCGCTGAGCGCAGGGAAAGCCACTGGAAGATGTGGAGCAGCACCGCCTGGGAGGAGGAAACGTGCGTGGAGAACTCCCAGAACCGCAAGCGTTCCAGCACTGTAAGTTAAACATGACATAGGTTCCATCATAGAACCTATATGAAACATTAAGAAGCAACTTACAAAAGGACAATCGTCTTCCAGTTGGTTCATGTTCAGCTTCTATGTTTAACTCACTGCCCTGTAGATCCTCAACAAGGGATTTGCATGGTTTCACTCCCTCTCTCTCTCTCTCTTTCTTTTTCTCTGCAGAGTCTGACTATGACACAGCCGTTCTCTGAGAATTACCCGAATGAAAAGCGGAACGGCCTTTTCCTATGGTGCTATCAACGGCAAAACCCTTTGGCACATTGCCATGCCCTGAGGAGGCGCCCATATAACTCATCGTTCTTTGAGTCCGCATAGCCAAAATGAGTCATATATAGGTGACCCTGGTAACCCCACAACTGGCGGTCCTACGGTGTTTCATTGGGGTGCCATCAATTGTTCTCATGTTTCATCGAGCTTCATCAAGTGTTCTTGGTTTGAGTGTGTGTGTGTGTAAGTCTCATAAGTCGGGGTCCGTGATTCGCTCTCAGGAGCCTGAACATGCCAAGAACTTCCAAAGAAGGTCTGTGCAGTCATGTGCCTGACTCTGAGGCGATCGAAAACGGCCCAGATCCATACAGATCCCGAAGGTGAACAGCGTGACTTAACACACCGTCTCCACCGGCTTCACCCACCACGCCTGTGGGAGGCTCTCCCAAGTGTCCTGTGGCACTGTGCAGTGGCGGGTTCCACGCACCACTAAGTCGAACGTGATCTGCTCCATTCTTGTACTATACCTCCATACCTTGGCATCTGCTTGTTTAGATGCGACATCGAATATATATACCTCTCTCACGGGTCTGCCACGTGCGTGCCTCTGCGAACCCAGAAGCAAACCAGGCGCATGCGTGGACCGACGGGCCTCGGCGGTGTCCTCTGGCGGCGGCAGGTCGCTGAGGCCTTCCAGTGCCCGGTGCGTCGGAGAGGTCCGGCAGTAGCGATGCCAGGAGCGCCCCGTTCGGTTCGCGTCCGACCGCTCCGTTCGTTTCGCGATGCTCTTTGTCCCTAGTAGCTTCACAAAATGTCCTGCTTTCAAAAGTGTTGTGAGGTTCTAGAATTGTTCCAAAGAATCCATAGGATTTGAGCATTCTTTGAGCTGTTTTCGAAACTGAATGTGGCGAAACCAACGAAATCCAACGAACATGTGCTATGATCAGAAGCGGCTGATGTCCGTCTGTTGAACTCGAGACTTCTTCCCCTAGCCTTCCAGCTCCAGCTCGATGGTATAGACATCATCCCAGCGCCACTGCCTGGTTGGGGGACTGCACCATGGTGACCATTCAGGGTGCAACGGTGTAGTTGAATGCCTCATTGAGTTGAACCAAGGCACCATATGGGGGTTGCGGCATGTACTTGAGCCTGCCACTACGTAGAAAAAACAAAACGTCGAAGACCAGCCGCCCAGGGGCACCGACACTTGGTGGTTCACAGACCTCCACCCCCCCAAATGATCAACAGGGGGCGCACTGAGGCTCCCTGAAGTAGTGGTTCTTGGAGTTCTGAAGTCCTTTCACAACTCTGAGGCTCTGCAGAACTTCCTCCACTGCAGAATTTCCCGTGAGCAAGCGGCCTTTAGGTGTTCCTGCCGAGGCGCACGTTCTCCGAAGCCTTCTTGGCCACATGTCCAGTGTCCAAACGCCAACCTTGGGCTTCCTCCGCCACCACAGAGCCCCACAACGCACCTGAACCAAGAGGGCGCGTGGCAAAGGTGGCCCTGGAAACAGGGAAAAAGAGCCTGATACAATGGTTGAATGCCCTCAAATATCCACGACAACAGTATGCCCAAATGAGTCTTGTAGTGACTTAAAGATATGCACCATGTGTCCATGCATCATGCACCAATCTAACAGGTTCCAACGGCATCATTATCATCACAATCAAATCACAGTGTCTCAGAATTACAGTGTACTTACAGTATACGAATGCACAACCGTTGACCTCCTAAACTCACTCTGCCTCCCATGCCGCGGATGCATCTGCCCAAGCGTCCTGGCGCCTGATCCAGGTAGGTCTAGCTAGAAGCAGGGATGACGTGGTTCTACAGGAAGTCCCAACATCCCGTTTCCTATTATTATATGAGTGTTCCACTCTACTCATTCAACTTGCAGATTCCACAAGCACAGGGCAAATGAAAGAAAGCATAACCAAAGCCTTCCGCGGCGAGTAGCCAGACTTCCTTGAAAAAGGCCGAATTGGGCGGCTCCAATTTTGATCAAAAAGAAAGGAATGTGGACGCAGCAAAACTGGGATAGTCCAATGAAACGTCAACATTCTTGTCGAGGTCTTGAAGGCTTACTTATAACTCCAAATCCGCACGACGGAGCCAGAATGTGGCTGACTAAAGGACCACAAAGGCTGAGAAGCCAAAGGCGTCCGAGTTAGATTTGAGCATGGGAATCCAGCACCAGACCTGATACGCAGAATAAGCATGAATAAGTGCATAAGCTGTTCACCGTGCTGCCACGCATGCCACACAAACACTGAATGGCAGCCCAGCTTCGGGCTACAAGCAGCAGGCGGTAAGACCTGGGCAAGTCTAGAGTGCTGCTAGGGATTCAGTGGCTGAGACGGGACACTGAAGGTATGGATTGAATTACATATGAATGAAAAACGCTGTATCCCCACAACACCCCAAACAAGGACGGTAAAGATCTAGCGCGCAGCAGGCCAAACAAAAACCAAACCAATTCTAGCGACCACGGTGACCACGGGTAGCTTTCCCTCAGCTGACAGCTTGGGTCACGAGAAGAGCACACTGGCGTCATGTCCAGTGCTTTTCTCCAAGCATGGCACTCCCCTGACTGGAAGCTTCTGAGCGCCTGGCGGGCCTGGCGACCCCACTAACTAAGCCATCGTTCTTCTCGAACATCCACCCCCATGGCCCCAAATATTTATCTACTCAATGCGCTAGCGAGCCAATCCTCTGTGCCCTGTACTTCGTTAAAGGAACCTCTCATGGATCGCGTGGATGCTCATGAACACATCCCCGGCGAAGACAAAACGCCATTGGCAGTTTCAAGCCCAAAGCACGAAGGACACCTCAGGAGAGCTCCCAGTGTTGGAGAAGCTGCCTCAAATCTCGGGTGAAGCAGCACATCTTGCATGCTTTGTCTGAGGCTTTGGGAAGAATCTGGATAGCGTCTGATCTTATTATCCCATCAGGTGTTTGGACATTTAAATAACTATTTATTAATTGCCACGCCATCGCTATATATATACTAGGGTGAGATGACTTAGGCCAATTGGGTCGAAATGACATACAACTGTCCCAGGGCAAGTCCTAAGTCATGTACACATGTTAAATTTGCAATTTCATTGGCACACACTCATGACATAGGCCTTGTTGACCTGGTCCTGAGATTTGTTTTTTTTTTTGTTTTTTTTTTCGGGGGGGGGGGGG